TTGAGATGCACAGACTAAAAGCATGTAATGCAGAAGGTGTTGTGTCTCAGAGGTTTTAGAAAGGTTTTTCCAGGGGATAGTTGTATAATAAGAGGAATAGAAACAAGGCAATTTGACAAGTGGAATGCTACTGTTAGTCTTCAGGGAAAACATGTTGTGGACTTACAGAAAACATTGATATACTTCATTGGGATTCATCTGATTTCCTATAACTATGTGCACAGTAAAACTCCTACTCTATTATGTCAATGAAAAATTTAAAATGGTATTTGCTTTTAGTCTTTGTCCAGTTTCTGATATTTTGAGTAATGAAATATTGAAAAAGTAGTGGCATGACAAATAGTCTAAAAGAACATACTGAGTAATTACGCTTTGCAAAATGGAGTGTTTTCTAAGGTACATGGCATTATTTTAGTGCATTGAAATAGAATGTGGGTAGCCTGCTTGCAGTAGTTTTATGTAGATTTTATTGAATAATATGTGAGTGAGGGAGATATCTCTGTTTGTTTTGATTTTATGCAACACTAATTGTCCAAACTGCATAAAAAGCTGTACAAGGAACTGTAAAATTGCAGTGCTTAATGGAATCAAGTGAAGAGCATCATGTTCATGCTGGAGGACTTGAAACCATCAAGAAGGGTAGGAAATGTAACTAGAGAGGAGAAATGTGAAGTCAACCTAATTTTAAATATTGGACATTCTAAGTCAATGACAATAAGTCTGAATGATTTGAAACATTTGCAGTCTATTGCCTAATAGGTGCTGTATATCATTTTAGAGCAAAGGTAAGCGATTTCCAAAATCAGGAGCTAATTGTCCAAGAACCTTTTTGCAGGAATGAGAGTGAAGAGTGGTGGAATTTGTTCCTATGCAAAATTCCTTACTTGCTTTTCCACTCAGTAAAGAGAATAGTTTGTAAAATTAGGGCACGTGTTTAAAGTCTCTGAGAATCCTATCAATCTTTCTGATTATGATCACAATGGAAATATAAAAGGACTTCTCCATGGAGAATCAGAGAGGTGTGTAATGTTGGGCATTGAGTTTTGTTTATAGAAAATAGCAAGATTTATTAGTTTTTCATCCATCTCATTACTCACTTTTGACAACTGGTAAGGAAGTGTACTTTAATTAAGATTCAAACTTCCTCTTACTGAATGGAGAGTGACCATGTACTAATGCTGTTTAGAAATGAGTTGGTTTAATAATAAACACATCTACAGTAATTCTGCCTAGACTCTGAATTTTAATGGACAGGAAAAACAGATGTTTTACACAAACACTATTTATGATTATTATGCTTTTGTCATTGTTTATATGCATGTTTGTAATCAGTGTATCATTCTACAACACTTAGGAGGAACATAAGGAAATAGTGTTCAAAAAAAGTACCACAGAGAATTTGCCACTTTTTTCAGATAAAAATATACCTTATAATCTTTCACATTAATGATTTTGTTTAAAAAAAGGTTCAGAATTTGTATTTATGGCTCAAAAGTTTCTTAGTCATAATAGGCCACTGATCTTACCTACACACAGATCTTTCAAAAGAGGGGTTCAGAAACACAAAAAATTAAAAGTTGAATATACTGATATTTTTTGTTTACCAAAAATACTTTTGTATTAGAAGTATTGAAATTAGGATGCAAGGAAAGGAAGTTTAATTTTGTTTATAGGCTTTCAAGCTGAAATCAGCACAATATGAAATGTGTTAAAATATGGACCACTAAACTCTGTATTACCTACTGGTATGTACTTACATCATTGGTTTGAGCCAACCTTATGTTCCAGTCTTAAAGTAACCAAAAATATTTTGACCCTCCAGTGGGGATATGCTTTTGTGAAAATATACCAGTAATTATTAAACCACATACAGTTTTTTAATATATGAAAGTATGCATTTATGGTTTTATAATACACATCCTTATACTACATGTTTCTAGTTGCCTTTCAGTGAATAGTCAGGTCATTGCTTGCTTATCTACCAGTTAAATACCTTGGATTCTGACTTGATTTGATTGTTTTTGAATTTTAAGTAAGAATAATATGTTTCATTAACTATTACTAGAATTTAAATTTAATTGTGCCTTAATCACCACCTTAATTCTCTTATTCCTTTATTAAATTTCTGCCTTCATATTTAAGATGTTTTGATGATATTAAAGGATTTAGACTCTTTGGGAAGGGTGGTCTTTTTTTTAGTTTAAGAAAGTCCAGTATTAGCACAGACTTGCTTGTAATTTTCTCACTGTGATAAGAGGAAGTAAGCTAAAGCCCCTACACAAAAGGTCAAATATAGTTATTCAATTCCCACTTCTTGCCCATGGAGAAAGGAATAAGCATGATCACCAGGTCTGACTTTTTAGATGAAAATTGTTACATAAGTTTTCCAAAACATGCTGATAATAACAAACATTAAAACATGCAATGGCAAATCTTTCTGAACTTTGGTATCAGTTTCAATAATGAAGGCATTTTATTTAGCCTAAAAATTACCAGTTTAAGCAACTACATAAACACAACTGGTGTGGGCTGGGGAGTGGTTAATTTTTAACAAGTGACCTGGCCAATAAATAATTTCAAAGTCTCATTCATATTTTCTACAGTTGCACCTTCTATATCATAACTTCAGTGTTTCTAATAAACTGATAACACCAGGCTTTGCCAGCAACATCATGAGAACATAGATTTTCTTCACAAGTAACTTTCTCAAGTCATGTAAATCAGGGTTACCTTAGGTTAGTTGGGTGTTAAAAAGGCATGTCTTTTGTTATTTAGAGTTTAATTATTTCCACAGGCATGTGAGGTTAGCTGAGCAATAGCAAATGTGGCCCTTACTATAAATTCAAGAAAATAAGTAATGGTGAATAGCTGTTTTGCCTTCTGCTGCCTGTAGACTAATTGTTTGCAAGCCTCTATCTTGAGAAGTGCTGTGTATATTGCATTCAGATTACAGATATTTTCAGCTGGTCTATATTTGGGACTTAATGAGAAAGCATGTATGCTAAGAATTGCAGAGAGGTATCTCTTCTAAATCTTTGAATTACGAATTCTCTGATGTAAAATATGCAGTAAAGAAAGATAATCAGTACAAATCCAAAAAGTTACCTAATTATGATTTTTAAAATATCTTAAAGTCACAGAAATTACATTTGCTTCTACTGTTATAGATTCCTTGGCTTTAACAAAGCTTCTAAAGACAGGGGACTATCTCTCTATAACTTTTCCATTATAATTGGTGCTAAATTTAAATGAATTATCTCAAAATTTTGTAGTTATCAAATTCCAAAGTTTAGTTTAGGTATGGTGGGTAAATGATTGCTAACTCCTTGCCTCCTCAGTTTCTTTCTTTCTTTCTCTGTTTTTTGATAAATTTAAGGCAGTACAAGTACAATTTTGTTGGATGCATATGTTGTGAAGTGGTGAAGTCTTGACTTTCAGTGTATCTAAATAGTGTACATTGTACCCATTATGTAATTTCTCATCAATTTCTCCCTCCCTCACTTCCAAGTCTCTGATGTCTGTCATCCTCTTCTTTGTTCATGTGTACACATTATTCAGCTCCCACTAATAACTGAAATCTTGGTATGTGAGTTTCTGTTTGAGTTGTTTCACTTAAGATAATGGCCTCTGGTTCCACTCATGTTGCTGCAAAAATCTAAGAATTTTAATAGGTTTATATTACTTGGATATGCATTTGAATTCATAGTAACTTTTCCCTTAATTCAATTGTCATATTGTTTCTAATGCTTGTAACATTTTAGATGGAAGTGTGTAAAAAAATTTTGTCCAAACTACCAAATTCATTTAAAATTTTAAAAAGGAAAATGTAGAGTAATGTGTGTAAATTGCAGAATTATAACCGCTAACTAAATTGAAAATTTTTAATGAGCTGGGAAATGAAATGCTTGCCAGTTTGCTAAAAAACATAGAAGTGCAAGTTTTAATTTCCTCTCTAAATTTTTAACCAATATCCTGAAAATTTTGAATATAGTGATCGTTGTTTTTGTAACATGAATTAATACATATGTGAAATCTTTATGTAGAAGTGTTACTATATGGATTTCAGTATTTTGCTTCCTGAACAATATTTTATGATGATTTAAAATGAAGCCTTGCACGTCAGTTTCAGGTACATTTATTGGAGGAAGATCAAGGCAACGTGGTTTTTCAGCCAGTTGAATTAATTGATTAACTAATTGGTCTATCAGTTGGGACTTTTTAATTGCAAATGTCAGAAACACAACATAAAGTGGTTTAAAAATATAACTGAAAACATCTGAGATAATGGCTTATGGCTTTGTCAAATCCCTGTCTATACCACATAATTTGGTTCTTTATTCTCAGGTGGTTTTCTAAATAATATGAAACATACACTATATAATTTACTGCTCCCACTTTATATTTTATGTTTTGTAAATTCAGAGGAAAGAGTGCCTCTATCCCAATATTTTCACTGAAAACTATAGTTCTAACTCTTATTAAGCCTGTTATAAAATATATCTTCATTTTCAGATTCAATTACTGTGGCCCATGTGAATGTACTTTGTATTAATCAGGCCTGCTTAACTTGTCCACACCTGGAACCAGGTCAGCCCCACCCAAACTCCATGAATGAGAATAAGGGAGGGGTGCATTCCCTACAGGATAGGGAACAGATGTTGGACACACCCAAACAATAGATCATTGTGTTTATTATTTTTGGCAGTTTTCCTCTTTAGCAAATGAGTAAGATAAAGACGCTAAAGATTTGTGCCCAAATTATGTAAAATTTGGATACTTGTTTATTAAAAATTAGCTGTGGAATTGTAAAGGGTCAGATTTTCAGGGAACCTTAAAGTGTAGCTAGATAAGACCCTTAAAATATTGCCAACCATAGTTATTTTTAACCACTTGTGAAATACACTGTAAGTAACATACACTAAAAATAATTCTAAAATTTGATATTTGTTGTAATAATAATTAGGATAATAGTAATACCCGTGGTCTCATCTTTGTTCCAGTATATTCCCTAAGTGAAGAAGGAAAGGGTAGGTCACATCATCTACATCATTTCTTTTCTTGGTTGCATTAGGAAGAATTGAGCTGAGAACTACTATTCTGCCATACCTGTCAGCCTTGCCAAAATTGTCTGGTTTTTTTTTTTTTTTTTTTTAACAAAAAATAGTTTTATACTGTTTTCATCATAATGCTTAGCTTTGGCTTTCTTTATCATATTGGTGTCTTTCCAGATGTGCTTCAGTATGTATTGAGCCTGAATTGACCCTGCCCATCTCCCACTCAAGCATTCCCTGTCATTCTTCCTGCTTTTTCTCTATAACAGTTCAACACAATTTGGCACAAAATGCTTTACTTATTCATGCTGATTGTCTTCTTTCTAGAATATGAAGCCAAAGAAGACAGAATGTTTTTGTCTGGTTCACCACTTTATTTCTAGCACTGGCATGGTGCCTGTTGTAGTGTAGGCCCTCAGTGACTATTGAGTGACCAATATGTAAAGTGCAAAAATGAACAAACACTTGGAAGCTGTATCAGGACATCATAGATTTGAGTAGTAGTATTTTTTTGTTTAATGTACTACTCTAATGGTTTCAGTTTACACTATAGATACTGTGTTCCTGAAAATATGTAAAATATTAACAGAATAGTGGTTAAATTATTTATATATAGTTTCAAGTTATGGAGGTAAAAGTTAACAAATTGCAGGCTATTATCATTCACAAACGTTAAGTACAAATGATTTATCCTAGGAATTCAGAGATAGTTTAATATTAAAAATTCAGCTGTGGTAATTTATCATACGTTTAAGTTAAAGAAAAGTTGGTGACATCCTCTCAATAGTTTGAGAGAAGATGTGATAAAATTCAGCACCAATAATGATAAACTCTTAGCAAATTAAAGTGTCTTGGTAAAGTTATAATCCAAAAATCTAATTTGAACATCAACCATAATGTGTTAGGAACATTACCTTTAAAACAAAGAACAAGAAAAGAATGGCTATAATCACCATTTCTATTGAACTTGGTAGTGGATGCTCTAACTAGCACACTCAGATAAAAGAGAAGTAAACGAATAAAGGATTAGAAAGTAAGAAACAGTCATTATGTTCAAATAACACAATTATTTAAGAACTCAAAAGTTTTGCACATACCATCAACATACTGTTGCAGCTTTTTTATTCCTATAATTCAGCAGGCAGGAGTGTTACAGCTGTTTTATTCCCACTGCCCTGCAGCTCAGTGAGCAAGAGCATTAGCAACTGTTTCACTCCGACATTTCAGCAAGTTGCAGGTTCTTTTCCCACAACCAAGAGGAATAAGGTACTGGGACATTGGAGAAGGGGGTAAGGCAGGGTAAAATATATTGAGCGAAAGACAAGCTCTCGACACAAGAGGGGACCCGAAAGTGAGTAGTTGTTTTTGAGGCTAGTCTGTGGTTTAAATGGACTGTGAATGGGGGAATGTGTGCCATTTGGTTTATGGGTGGGCTTGGAAAAGACACCATTTGATTGGTTAAAAGGCATCATTCAGAAAGAACCAATTGAGAGAAAGTGAGTAAGATGGTGATGGAAGTTCTTACTCTGGTTCATGAATTCTGTCTGTAACTTGTAGGGTGGTTTTCCAGGCTTTAGGATGTCCTTGGCTTGAAGGTAGAGTTTCACTGGGGACCTGCCCCTGTCTGCCTAGGAATTTGTCTGTCTACTGTCACTATCAATACTTAGATGTTTTTATTTCAACATAAATGCGACAAATTTAGAAGATCCAAATGCTGTGTTTTATGAAATTGAATCAAACTAAATGACGTATGTGTGTACCTTTGATCTCTCCTTTCATCTTAGGAGATATGTGACTATTTTAATTCATTTTCCTTGCAGTGAATTTGACATTTTCATGTATTCATATGTGTTATAGTTTTCTTCATTATTAGACATAGCTCAAAAATACTAAGGAAAAATGCTTATATAAAAAAACATAAAAATAAGAATAGGACTCCTTTTGGATTGGAAGAATTCAGTGTATCTGGTAGAGTGTTAAGCAAGAACAGTTTTTAATACCTATGTATTAGGTATTTTTTTCAGGTTTCTACATGTTTTCTCACCACATTACCGTGTGAAAATTCATTGTCTGTTAAGTTTGCATTGTTGCTTAAGGGAATTGATGATATGCCAATTTAATACTCTTTCACAGTACTAGGCATTTAAATGTACCCAATGCTTACACTTTATAAAAAGCCTTGTGAGAAGTTTTTGACTTGAAATTTCTTGTAAACAGATTTTCATTGACTTGTAAAAAATCTTAAGACATCATAAGGTAGCTGCAGGTTTATTAATTATAGAGTGACTAAAAATCAAATTAGGCAGCAACATATATTTTTAATTGGACTTTTATGTGTCAGGTTATTCCAGTGTTTTAAATTTGTAGGCATGTGAATGCCATGCAGACAATATTTAATTTAGATCATACATGTAGTACTCCCACATGATCATTGTAGATGTTGCTATTATTGTAAATAAATACTATTGATGTAATAAAACTTTTTGGAATACTTTACATATTTGCGGTTTGTAGTCTAACATTTCCAATTTCTGGTGTGAGAGAATGCTTTCCAATGTGAATCACTTTGATGAAGACTAAGTCACTTGGTGTGTAAGCATAACCACTTTGCTTCTTGCATAAGAACTCCTGAGAGGTGATTGAAGTTTATATTTTTTGGAAAAAAGCAGTAACGTCCATAGGAGCAAAGTCACTTTTCGAAGTTTACAGATCTGACAGGGCAAAGTGGCTGATGCCAGTAATCCCAGCAGTTTGGGAGACTGAAGCAGGTGGATCACCTGAGATCATGAGTTTGAGACCAGCCTGGCCAACATGGTAAAACCCTGCCTCTACTAAAAACACAGAAATTAGCTGGTTGTGGTGGTGCCTGCCTGTAATCCCAGCTACTCGGGAGGCTGAGGCAGGAGAATTGCTGGAACTAAGGAGGAAGAGGTTGCAGTGAGCTGAGATCACACCATTACACTCCAGCCTGGGTGACAAGAGCAAAACTCCATCTCAAAAAATAAAATTAAAAAAAAAATGGCTACAGATCTGAAGGCATTGGTTTTGCAATATATTAGAGTGGAATGTCTGATTATCTTGAGTCCATGTTATTTACAAAATCTGGAAACCAGATACCCCATTAAGGATTTTGCTGTAGTGAATTATCTAGCCAGTGCAAAGATATGTCAAGTGAGAAAATTCTTTATGAAATATGTTTAAAGTGAACTTTCAGTTTGTGTGTATGCACAGGAGGCATGCAAATTCTACATAGAAATGAGATTTAGGAGAATTTTAACGGTAATAAAAAATGACTATGGGATTAATTTTTTTGAGGAGGGCTCATCCCGCAGAGTTGGTATTTAGAATCACTCTAAATAGTGTGTAAAAGGCATGTAAATGTTTTAGTTCTTTTATTATCCACTTTATTGGAAAATTTTATTCTATGATAATACAGACTTTTTTAAAATAAGTTTTTTGGACATGTCCTTTACTCATGTGAGAGGCATTAATTACTATGAAAGATAAACAAAGACAGACATTGATTAAAGTGGTGAAAACAGATTTTAGTAACTACTGATAGGGTAAAGAGTGGAGCTTCCTTCTGATTTGTGCAGAAGTGGTCATTTTTAAAGGAGCATGAAGGGGTGGGGGGCAGAATATTTAAAATTCCCACGTGGCTGGAATGTGCAGCCAGAGTTTGGAACCACTGGTCCAGTTAGACCCTTCAGCTAGCCATCAGGGATCCAAATCAAAGCTTCTCAATGTATTGGGAGTCTGGGAGAGAGCAACACTCCAGTAAAAAATTACAAAGGATTGGTCAGTGTGAATGTGTTTAGGCTAGATGTGTATGTTATCTGGTAATCAAAGAAGTTAAGATTCTGTTTACCCACAGAGACTAGGAGACAAAGGTTCCTATTCTACCTGATGGAGTTTGGTTCCTTCTAGTGCAGCGATTCGGATGGAATCATTATGTGTTGGAAGTTCTATAGTTCTTACTACTTTATATTATATAAAATTCAGATGAAAGAACTTACTCGTTTTTGCCTAGCATTTTCAGAGGCAGAGGCAAGAAGGATTGCTTGAGCCCAGGAGTTTAAGATCAGCTAGGGCAAGATGGTGAAACTGGTTCTTTAAAAAAAAAAAAAAAAAATTACTGATTCTTTTCATGGTTTCAAGTATGTTTGGCTTTTTAAACTTACTCTTTGAGAAAGTATATTCGCATGATTTTAAACTTAAATCACATATACTTAAAGCCATTGTGGCCCTATCCACCTAGTCCTCATATTCCACCCTGATTCCCAGGTGTGCAGCTTGGTTTCATAACTAGGTTTTCCTTCTTGCCCTCTAGCATTCTTCAGGTTCACAGTGGTGTATTCGTGATGTAGGTGTGCCATGTATATCATGTTTATCCTATTCTGCTTGACCTGGGTTTGGGTAGATTTCTGCCTTTTTTTTTTTTTTTTTTAAGGGTTTTCCCCAACATGTTGTCATGTTGTCAGATGAACAAAGCACCTGTTGTATTTTACTAAAATATGAGTGTCAGCATTTGAGTAATCAACAGGGCTTGCTTATTTTGTGTATGAAAATAATATACATCATTAGGTTATGAAAAAAACTTTAGTGTGGAAAGAACAACAAAACTCAAAGTGATCTAGGTGGCTTCATTATCTCAGTTATTTAGGGAAGTAAAAAAAAACTGAGAGTGATTATGGCTTTCATGGGACCAGAACGTTTGATGTGATAGAAACAGGCCTTGCCACCTAATTAGGGAAGATGGTTCTTTTGGTTCAGACTATGAGTGAGTCCTGCCGTTCTTAAGTCTCAAACCTGAGTGTCTTTCTCTAGATAGTATAACATGTTCTAGAAAGGCTAAAAGTTCTCTGACGTTCAGTTTGTCTTTGAATTTGTTAGCTACATTACTCGGAAACACTACAACATTTCTCTTGAATGCACTTTTGTTAGTATCTACAGTGTGTTTTCTGTCATCCTAGTTGAAGATAATCTCACTATTTCTGATTGTATATTTTATTTTCTTCATATAAGTAGCCTAGCAAAGCTTCTAAATTACAGGCATTCATTAAAATTAGTTATTCATAGAATATGGAAAGAAGACATACTTTTTTAATCACGGTGTGCACCAGGCACTTTCATATAAACTTACAGAAACTTTAGGATAGCCACAGGAAGTGGGAATTGATAGCTCTAACATATGCTGGTGAGGAACCCAGCCTCAGAAACTCAAGTAACTTCACATACGTAAGCTAATAGGTGATTGAACTAGATTTGTACCTCAGATGCACAACTGTGTTTACATGCTCAGTGAGGCTTTAGCAGAAGAATTTCTTAAAGTAAAAAAAAAGTGTATATATTTTATATATCTCTATACATGTTTGTGTGTGTGTGTGTGTGTGTGTGTGTGTGTGTGTATATATATATATATACTATATGTATACACATATGTATGCTCAAAATAAAATGAAAGCCATGTTACATTATTAATATTTAGTGAGCTTTGGCTTTATGCTAAGAAGCAATCTCATTTCCATTAATCTTCAGATTATTTCATGATCTTATCTTCTCTTCTTGGCTTTTTGGGAATGGGATACTGTGGGGAATGGGGATTAGCAGGGCCTTTCCTCAGCTTTGGATGCAGAGGAACCAAAGGAATCTGGCTTGGGTGTGCTTGGAAACCACGACAACCTTTATTATCAGTTATTCTGGAGCAATTCAGAACAAGAAATGGACCTGAGCAGATGGTCTATAATCATGATGGCAAGAATGGATGTGCAGGTGTTGGGGGGGGGACTTGGAGATCAGAGTCTTCTAAAGAGATTCCTTGCAAAGAAGGCATATGAAAGGAAAGAAGCTTTTTGTAATGGAGCGGCCACAGCCTGGCCCCAAACACGGGGAGGAGGATATGAAAGTTGCTTGATTAGCTCAGGTATTGCTGCACTTTCTTAGACTATATCTTCTGGACAGAGGGAAGCTGAGGATTCCACAGGACTTCTAAATAGGGAATCTGAGACCCTTCCCAGCTCTTCTGTGAAATGCCTGTCTCCGTACAGTTAGATCTGATATTGGTTGCAGTGTCATCAAGATACAGATAGATTGTTTGCTGGGCTACCTCAATCAGCTACAGTGGTGTGAGGAAGAGAGGGACAAATCTTTCAGTGAAGTATTAAGAGAGAGAGTCAATTTAAATATCAACTGTTTTTCAAAAAAGCAAAATCTTGACGGAAATAATTGGTTTTAGAAGGAATAGTTCTTTGACACTTGCTTTGTTTCACTGCCAGAATTGGCTTAGTGGGATACATTCCAGAGGGAACTAGAGAGCTGTAACACTGCTTTTTTGATAATGCCCACCATAATTATCTGCACATCTTAAGTACCTTTGCTTCAAGGCATCATTGTGTGGTTTACTTTGATTTGGGTTGCGCTCCAAATTGTAATTATATAAAGAACATTGTAAACAGAGTTTCTTATGCCTTTTTAAAAAAAAATTTACCACTATGATTCTTGGTGGGGTGAGGCAATAATGGTGGTATTGCAGGAACCTCTCGGAATGATCTGGGGAATTGTTTCAAGCTGCAAAAGTGTCCACTCCAAACTCTTGTGCTAGTTATTCCAAGACGCCACCTCCGAACAATATTCATGCAAATGTCACATTCTTTGTGTTAAGGAAGAAAAACCAAAATACCAAAAACAAGGTTTTAAACTCACTAGAGCATAATTTCCGAAGTTCACACAAGTTTCCAGAGTTTTAATTTAGATCCTGCTACTCCTTTGTTGAGTTTGGTCTTTGTCTTCATTACCTTCTGTTTTTGACCCTTAATTGAGAGTATAGTTTATACACATGCAATTTAATTTTCTATGTGTGAGAAAAATCATACCATTAAAGCAGTACAGCAAAATAAAACATAATACAAGATGTAAATCCAAAGTCAGCTTTCTTTGGCACTCAGATTGTTCTAGGTATAGGGAAATACTTTCCATAGATTTTTCTCTTTTCTGATAAATTTTCAGTAACTCTGTGTTGACAGATTGTAGTTTATTGCCAGGCTACTTTCTAGAGACTTTATAAACAAATTTAGGGGACACTTAAGAGACAAAGGCATATGGATATTAGGTAAGGGACTATGAAACTTGGAGCATAAGTAGTAACAAAAGTATCTCTGTGTATAAAATCTCTGAGGAAACAGAGTAGGCTTCAGGTCATAAGGGAGGCAAAAATGGCCCCTTTCTCATCTACTTGTATAAGGCTACCTTATCTTTCAGTGTTATAGGGCAATAGTGTTATGTCTAATAAATAAAGAACTAGGTTCACACTCTCCTCTGCCCACAGCATGGACTAAAAGGCCTAGATTGGGCTTCTTCCAGGAGTAGCAGAGGAATATTCATGTGACTTAAACGCATCTTTGTCTTACCTGTCACTCTGGTTTTTCATCTGTTTTGCAAATAATTTTTTTGTCTTAGATTGAAGCAGAAGTGGCCACAAACAAACCTCTCGACCACCGAACAAGGAAGGAAGTGGTGATTTATTTGCCTGGGAGCTGTGGAAGGTGAAAATACCTTAACAACCAAGCTCCTTGGCAAAGAAAATTCTTGCCCTTTCAAAGTTTTACAGTTCTAGAAATTACATGTGAAAGGGTCTTGATCCATGAAGTAGGCATGGGGTACATGACTAGGTGGGGGTTTGATCATGTTTAAGCAAAAATAATGCCTTCCAGAAAGATCGTTCCATACCATGCCTGCGATCTACAGGAGTGTGATTAAGGGTGGCACCTGGTGTGCCAGGCTTTACTTCTCCTTTTGAAATGCAATGTAGAAGTCTAGGGGCAAGGGGTCTTGGAA